CCTGAGCCGTGCTAAGAGACGGCACACCTCAGAATCCGACCGGCGGGCCTGCCGAAAAGTGGGCGTCTCCTTTTAAGAGGCGAGGAACCGGGGCCGCTCCGTCGTCCGGGCCCCAGACGTCGTCCCTGCGAACACGCCCAGGACGCACGCACGCATGCACTGACTCCTCCCACCGCCGCGCCCGAACCGCTGCGTCCGCAGGCGTTGCCGTCGCGGGGTTCGGTTTGGCGCGTAATTAATCCCTCCCACTTGGAAGCCGGCACCTAAAATATACACAGCGCTTAATTAAAGTCGGGCATCTATTATTGAAGCGAATCCTAGTTTTATGGGATGAGAAGGTAATTAGTCCCTCTGCACCTTTAGCGCTCAGCTCCCGCTTCCAGGGGTTATAAATAGCAGCCGCGCCGCCTGGTGAAGGGTATCCTTTAAGCGACATGCTCAGGCCTCACAAAAGGTCAGAAGGGACACGAGGTTTATGGAGACGTTCTTCATCCGGTGGTCATATGATGCACAGAAAAACACAACAACCTTAGGTGTCCAGGACACTGCGCACAGAGGTCAGGCTCCACTCAAAGGAGACAAATAACCTTTCCTTGTAATCTTTGGAATGTGGCATGAAAATCACTTTGGGTAATAACAAATAATGACCCAATCTCTACGATTGGGAAAAGAGGTATCGATTTCTCTCAGGCACTGAAGCCGGATATTATGACCTTAACTTTACAGGGATGGATATGTCAGTGTTTGCAGAATGAAACATCTATTTTATGTGATTGGTGGCGGTGGGTCAGAAGTTTATCCCTCAAGCGGTGAAACTCTCAATCTACCAAACCAACCACACTGTTATAACACAACGAGTGACTCCAGACACACAGCAATTAATTCAAAGCATATAGTTTGGTTGTAACCAAAGTTGCAGAGAGGAGTGGGTAATTGTATAACGTGAAAAAAAGGTCTGTCTGTTCACGTCATGTAACCTCTTCATGGAGAAAGAAACTTTAATCTAAGTCTCCGACTGACAATAACTCTCAATATCTGCAACCTGCGCTCTCCAAACAGATCTTCTGTGGTCAAAATGCAATTGTGTGGCGTGAAAGTTGTGTTGCTTATTCTCCCTCTGTGTCCTTCTGGCCTGACGTTAACAAATATTACATGAATATGATGCGCTGTGTCTTTCCTATAAAATCTACACACAAAGATTGGATTAGCCTTCTTGGAAACACGAACAGTGATCACAAAGAACTGAATGTCTGGCTGTTAAATGTCCCTCAGCTGAGCTTTCGTCATTGACATTAACAGGGATGAAGGCGGCCGTACTGCATTATCAATTCTGAGTATTCCACATTGTTGAAAATATCCTCTGCACACTGGAACTGATTATTGTTTGACAGTAAATTCAATAGCGTAATGAGAAATCTGTCCACTAGCTTATTTCTGCTTTTTCTTACAGTGAACTTTCCATCCAAAACCTTTCAGGGAAGAAAATGATGTTAGACTGTGATAACGCCAGAGAACCTCATCATGAAGTGTCATGCAGTATTATGTCTATAATCATATTTACAGGCCCGTGTATTCAGATGAATAAATCACATTTGCATTGTTAAGGGCTCATCTTGTGCTGCTTTTTAAGCAGGCTTCTAATCCTCAGGACACAGGTTTGTCTCTGCATTGTCCAGGGAATCGGGTATGTATTGTAAATGAACAAAATAAAGAAAGCATATTAACAATAAACTTAAAGTTCCCACTTTCCCATCGCACCCGATCCCGCCGAGTCCGCTCGCTCCGAGATCAGACTTGACTCGCATTGGGATCTGATCGCGGCGAGGAAGCCTGACTGGCGTCGGGGGCGTCGGTCAGGTCCGGACAGCATGTGGGATCTTGACAATTAGTCAATTGCATTTCTCGCTTCTTCTTCTTCTTCTTCCCCTCTAAAGGGAGTTCCTTTTTCCGAGGAGAGCTTTAGCAGAGCTCCCTTTGCAGCGATTCTTCGATAAAACATGATTAATGCTGCGAGCGCAAGCAGCACAAGTAACTGCGTCTTACATTTTGTAGAATAAAACTTTTTAAAAAAAAAAGGAGAACAGCGTTTAAAAGACTCCAGAAGGACTATGGGACAACATATGCTCACTTAGTTCAAGAGGGAAAGCAAACTTTTCCGAGTGAAGGACAGCAGCCGGGTGGCGAGAGTTCAGGGTTTAGCCTTTTACATCTGCATGATTGCATTTCTTGGCAGGGGATTCATTAAAATGATCATTCTTATTTATGAAGCCCTTTAAAAATGTAAAACACTCTGCGTGTATCGCCTCCTATTAATTAACTTTTTTTTTTTCTCCGTAATTTTCTTTCTTTCTCCTCTGTACTTTTTTTTCCTCCCCTTTACTTCCCATTGAACTTGACACACTAATAGTTAATGAATAATTCCGTTTCAGTTTAGACGGCAATTAGCCCACAACGCCCGAGGCCGTTCTCCTTCCCCTCTTTGCCGAGTGGTGATTTAAGAGCCAGTCGGGGCGCTGCGACTGTCCCACCGCTGCAGCCGACGCTTAACCGCGTAAATCCCCACCCGCTGGATGAAGTCAAGTCACTGACAACAGTGTTTGGGGAGCACGCGGTTGGTCATCAAATGGGAACGGAGCAGAACGGCGAGCCGAGGGCTTAGTCAAAGAAAAATAAATCTCCAAATCAACCCCCCGCCCCTCAAACCCACACACGCTTTTAAAAAGACAAACTTGGAAAACCACAGGCCCGTTCTCAGGGGCACGGATGAGAACGTGTGGAATAACGCAGTCAAACGGCGTCTCTCTCTCTCTCTGGTGTTCCGCAGAAGACTCCACCGATCCTAATTAGCCCGCCGGAGCGCGCGGAGAACGCCGCGTCGCCGCCGCCGCCGCTGCTGGAATTGACACATCAGAGGCAGGAGGAGCAGCCGTCATTAGGGGGACTTAGGCGCGGTAATTACAGCAGAGGCTGAGCAAACGGCCGCCGGCGCACGGCGTCCTCTCGCGAGCGGCTGGATGCGCGCGGCGGTGACCAACAACGGGGGGCGGGGGGAGAAGTCTCGTCGCAACAGCAATATAAGGGTTGAAGTTAAATCCACGAACGTTGATCCGGCAACGTGATCTCCAAAACCTGTGCGTAAGAATGTGTACGAACAATCTTGAACATAGAAATTGGTAAGAATACATAGGAACAGGCGGCGGTTAACCACGCCCCCTGAGTGAACAACATGGCGGACCATGTCGGATTCTTGAGTGAACGTCTCTCCGCCATGTTGGATTTTTGAGGGGGTTAGGGTCAGTATTCTATTCTTACAAGTTAACATGGATTTATCGTTAAAAATGCAATCATAACACGTTTATTTCACTTCGTTAGACTTCACGAAGTGTGTCTACGGGCCGCAGGTCCCCGTTCGCTTTGAACAGGGCGACGTCATCGGTTGCCAGTCCGTATTTATTTAGTATGTATCACTACGAATTTGTATCTTCAAGATTTTCGTACACATTTTTCCGAACAGGTTTTGGAGATCAGGCTGGACCCGGGGAACGTGGAGGCCCCCCCCCCGTTTGCCTCCTCCAACGCTGAGCAAACGGAGGCAAAACCACACAATTATCACAACTATTCAATTGGATCGATCTTCTTTACCCTGCTTACACCCCCCCCCTAGGATTTGGAGACAAGTCTATTTCTGTTAAGATCATTAATGAAGGAAGCAATAACCGCCTAATGGCCGACATTCTACATCCAGATTACCACAGAAATTGAATCAATCGTTCAGTCGCCGAAGGCCCGTCGGCCCATTAAAATTTCTATTTGATGGGGGCGCCGACACCGAGCGGAATTCCAATGCACAGTGTGAACCTGCGGCGCTGCACGCAGAGTGTGCGGCTGTTGCTAATTCTCAACTCCGGGCCGTAGCTGCAGTGCAAGTAAAATATGCAGCTTTCAGCGTCACAAAAGCACAAATACAGAAAAACAATGAAACACACAATCAAACTATACACATACCACAATGTACCGATAAACAAGGAAATGCGTTTTCATTCTTTTTTTTGTTGTAGGACATGAAAAAGAGACGCACTGGGGTCGGCAAAGATAGCTGTAGATAGAGCGGTACGAGGCATTTCTTCGGGGGTGATTACTGCACTTGCCTATATTGCCGTTGTTTTCTTCTCTCAGACAGCAATCGATCCCGGCGGCGTTTTCAATGGCGGACTGGTGCCTAATTGTTGCCTCTTGTGTTTAATTGCGTCTTTAAGCCAGTTGTGTCTCTTCGCCTCGTCTCCTGCGTGTTTCCGGTTCCTCGGTGACCCTGACTGGGGTCCATTAGATGTTTTTTCCTGGCCTAAGGCCTACTGGCTAACAGGCAATTTGTTCTTTTAATTAAAGTATTTGGTGTTTGCGAAGGTGGTTCTGCGCTTGAGTCCTTCTCCGGCCTGCAAAGCCTCACTGGCCAATCAGCTGTTTGGTGCAAGGCTTTTTCATTGAAGGGAACTGCCTGCTCTGTGAGAACAACGACTTTAAGAGCGCCCTGGGACTGAATAAAAACAGCTGGACCGTTAAATAAAAAAAGGGCTGTGACTAGTCATAAAACTCTGGGACACTGAGATTCTCCACAAGTTAATGAATATGAGCAAAACCTTTTGCGTTGTCACGTTATTTACGCAATAACAAAAGGTATTGATTCATAGCCGTATATAGGGAAGTACAAAATACTGCACTTTTAATAGCATCGTTGTTGAACAACGTATTTCTATCTGCATAACTCAACCCAGCTGTTTCTTTGCCCGAATGCCTTCTTACGTTTAGGAAAAGTAGCATATCCAACTTCTAGCACACCACCTCTAGCAACTGACGTCAAGCCAGACACCTCACACTTAGTTTTGGAGCCCTGCGCAGGATCCACGCCTTCCATTCTTTGGACTGCGACTTTAAAGGGTCCCTCTGCGGGTCGCACGCGTTGAATTAAATACACAGGCAGCAGAGCAGTGAAAGGTACTCACACATAACAGTAAGAAAAACGTTCCCTGAGGCCAGGACGACCTTCTCCCGAGTTGCCCGGTCGTAGATGCCCACGTGGCATTCATAAGGTCCGTTGTCTGAGATCCGTACCTCCGGGAGCCTGTGAAACGAGAGCAAAGGAGTTGATATTCGCATTTGATCATTTGACTGTTGTATTGCAATTGGAACATCGCTTCAACGAAGATATTTAATTTAAGGTGTAAAAAGCAATGGTTATCTGTAGTATTTTTAGTAATAAAGACATCAATGGATCATCATTTAAATGTATTAAAGAAACAATCTCTTAGCTTTTATGTTTAAGTATAAAATTGGAGCATAAAGTGAACGTTTTCAAATATTCTCAAGCATTTTATGAAGTCGCAGGAAAAGACATTGATTGAATATTCAATAATGTTTACGAAAACATTTACTGCCGCTGCGAATAACTCACACATAAAGAAAGACTTAAGATTCATACATGCACTCCTTAAAAGATGCAGACAGAATTTAAACTGTGAGCTACTTCTGCACCGCACCTTCTCTCACCAGCTGACTGAATAATACGAAACCCTGATGAGACGTGCTGGTTGAATGTTGACCTCATTTATAATCATCTATGCAAAGTCTCACTGATACGGTTTCATTGTGGTGAAAATTATTACGCCACAATGAAGTAGATTTTTACAGTTTGACTTGTCTCAACGTTATTAAATCTCATCTGGATGTCTTTTTAATTGTCCTGTTGAGTTCAATGATTAAACCATTTCCTGTCAGCGCCACTATTCAAATTTAGTTTTCAGTGCAATTGCTATTCACGCTATTATTCTTTGTTTTTATTAGAGTAATGAACAACTTGTTCATGAAGAAATTTCAACAAAAAATCAACCATGTGATTGATTGATTGAACACACTTTAGTTCAATCCGGGATGTTGTGCGTCCTCCGTGAGCAAAGCATCCCGACACTTGGCGTGATGCACCCGGTCGATGTATTTCCGTGAGATCGGACAGCTTTGGGGAAACGAAGGCGAGCACACTCCGCATTCAGCACTCGGCTAACGTGTCACCGTTGATGATCCAAGTGAGACCCTGCTAGTCGCATTTAGCCCCGGTGATTTATACCCACAAAAACAGGAACAAATGTCCTTCCCGCCCGGCTTTTTCAGATCGGGGACCTCTGTTGGGAACAGCGGCAGGGCTTTAATGAGTTCAAGTGTGTGTGTGTGTGTGTGTGTGTGTGTGTGTGGAGAGGAGATCGCTCTTTTGGAGAGCGGTCAAATCGGTGGGCCAACAAACTTCTTTCCAGCGTAGACGCCGCATCTCCTGGCACGACGGCCGCCATCAATAACCCTTAAGAGAGCCTTTCAGACGCTGCACGGGAGTAACAACGCGGTGTGTTTGGCTTGTTCCTGTGCCACCGCCCCCCCCCCCCTTCCGACGTGCTCATGAGCCTTGTTTTGCGAGGCACTGAACATGAGTGATTAGTTTTAGTATTTAAAACCTATTTTGCCTCAAAGGAAAATTAATATTTAAAGTAAATCTATTGCCAGCTGCTGTGAAGGCAGGAACATGTTTCTTTTTTTTTTTTTTTTTTCATTCGCTTTGATTACTTGAAATCTTAACAGCATTTGAGGCAACAACAAAGAAGCTGACTTTTGAGTGAAAATGATGAGATTAGTTAATTGGCTTTGTCTCGGCACGCGGAATCACAGCAAACGCCGATGTGGCCGATCGCTTGAGTTCACGTTCCTCACTGCTGGATTCAGGCATTGGGGAAAGACGACTCAAGGCGTGGAATCGTTGCCGGGAAGGTTGTACCCCAAACATCGGGACTCCTGTTAAATACTGAGACTGCTGCACTTCATTTTTAACACCTGTTCTAGTCAATGACGCCGTGTGTTTCACAGAGGCCATTTAAAAATATTCTGCATGTTACTCGTGGTGTTTTTGGACAGCTGTCTGTGGTTCTATAATAATGGAGACACAATGTTAGTGTCATTTGAGAGGAACAAATATCGAGCACATCAAATGTTGGTACACAGCTTGAGGCTAACCATATCGTCTCGGATTTGAATGTCCAAATAGTTTTTCCTTGAAAATTCTTGCTCGTTTGTTTAAGTTCAACCCGCGACGGCGGGATGGTGACAAAAGCCGATCTGAATTCGCTGTGAACTCGGCGTAGTTTTTGGTGCCGTGGTTTCATTTCAGACACTGAACTACTGCAATTTTCCCAAACAGCCGTCTCTAGTTTTAACTAGAGGATGGAAACGTTAAGAGGAAAATGTCCGGCGGGCGTCAGTTCTCTGGTTGATGGCAGCGGTCGCCGCTAAAGGACCAGATCCTTTTCCTGTTGTGGCCTCAGTTTCCTGCTGTCAGCAGGTTCTGCCTGCGTGGTCTCTTGCAGACCACCGAGCTTATTGTGTCTGCATGTCTCAATGCGTTGAGTCAGTGGCCACGCGATTGGCTGATTGGACATTTGCATCGACAACACATGCACTACATACATACGCTCAAAGATGGTGCACACCAATAAATACGCTGGGTATAGTTCATAGTCTATAATACATGAATACGCAAGGAAATGGGTAATTGATTAAACAAACAACTTACAGAAAACTACAATAAACACACGCCGGAATACATCACATACATGGAGGAGGTCGATAGCAATGGGCCCCCACGGAGGACCATCAAAAAAAAAAAAAAAAAGCGCACCGCAAAGAGAGATCGATTGTCCCCCAGGCGCCGCGTCCGAAAGCGCTTTCCCTGTTGTGTGTTTCCTTCCTGCAGCACTGCTCCTGCCTGCAGAGCCGGCTCAACGCAAACCCGCCCGAGATGGAGAGCGAAAAAAAGGAGCAGCCCGATAGATCGTCCAGTCGATCTCTGCGTCAAACCAGCACACCGTCAGAAGCTCCTCCTGCCCCGAAGCGCCGCGGTCGACTGGGTCGAGACCCGATGGAAAGCAAGGGGGGGGCAAATCGCCTGGAGGACGGGACGCAAGGAGGCCTTCGTAGCCCGGCCGTGTTTTGGGACGAGCGCGGAAAACAAAATGACGAGGGCGGATGTCGGGGGTTGTCCGGGTGCCGAGGGAGGGGCGGACGGCTTTGTGCCGGCTGCTTACATGGTAGCGAGTGCTGATGTAGCTCATCTCTCAGCTGGAGCCGTGTCGTTTGCTGCCTCTGTTACATTCATGAATTGAAATGCACACGCAAGCGAAAAAGGATATGAAATAGTTAGAAAACATCAAGGTATTTGGAGTCTTTTTTTATTGTTGTGTTGGTTTATGATGCCTCAGTAGGCAGATTTCACCTACAGCGTACGATTTAAAGTAAGAATCTTTCATTTAATATGTCTCAATTAAAAAGTCTACTTCCCACAGGAAGTAATTAGCACATAGTGAAGCATCTTATCAAGCTGAGTTCTTTACTAATGCTCCGGTAGGAGGAGGCGCATCGATGGGGCATCAAAACTCAATACAATGGCTCCCTTGAAATATTAGGACTAAATAATTAGCTTTGATTAATATTGATCGTCTAAGGCAGATTGAAGGAGACAATGTATTTCACTTGAGTCCTTCCTGTTAATTACTTTAACATTTGCATACGGACATTCCAGGCGTGTCCTTTTCGGTTTTAAGCAACATAACATTTGTGCGTTTAACGAGCTCACTTGCGAGATTGCGAGCGTTTCCATTGGCGACCGGTGGCTCTCCAGCCAACGATGCCGACATCACTAAAAGTGCAATAACGGCAAAAGTGCTGACGGAACCGGAGGCCGGGTGCTGTGCGCGTTTGAAAAAGATAAAAAACCATTTTCCTTTTTAAAGTGGGTACATTTTGTGTGGCTTTCTGCAGCTGGGAGAAAGCATAACACTGGGCCCGTAAAGACGCTGACGCACAGAATCTTAAGCGCAGTCCCATAACTGGTTCTGCTCCACGTGGGGCCCAGCTGAGCTCCGGCTACGTGCTCGTCATACAGCAGGAGTAAACACAGTGAAGAGAGCAGTAGCCGCAGGCCAGGCTCCAAATTGGATTTTTGTAATAATATAATAACGAACCTTTTGACTGAAGAAGCCGAACATCTAAAGATTCAACAATAACTCAAGTCACCACCTTCTGAAATGGGTCATCGGCCTCCACACAAGGCGGCCTAAAACATGGTTTTAGTCCTTGTTACTGGGTCACTTGTGGCATATGAGCACATAGGAACCTCCATCAGCAGCAGGCGGCTGCGTGGGGATTGGATGGATCCCTGATACGTTCCCCAGAGAACAGTTGTGTTTGCATTCCTCCTGTTCGCAAAAAAGCAGAAATGTACCACTATCTTTTCATGTTTGCTTCTTTTGTTTGCTTCCTTTGCTTGAAAATGGGCTTCGGCTGTATTTCATTGTGCAGGCATGTGTTTCATATTGACAATAAATGAGCCTCGAGTCCTTGAATCTTCCATCGCAAATGAGTGTTTGTTGTTATACTCATGCTCTCAATCCGGTGTACATTGGACTTTTTAAACATCGCAACGGTGAAACCACCCTCGTGCTCCTCAGGGAGTTTTGCGTGTTTTCTGATTTGATCCAATCGGTTAGTTTCCAATTCCAAGCAGTGGGACGAATTTAACATTTTATAATTCCTATTGGTAGATGAATATTTGTGCCTCCAAACCTCCGTGTGGAGGATCTGAACGATGCTTTACCCCTCACAACTATATATTGGTATAGTCAACATCTCTTACAGTACAGTACCATGTGGTAGGTTGCGTGCAGGTGAGTGAGCAAGGGAAGGAAGAAAAACGTCTCCACCTTTGGGATTACTTTTGCTGCTCTCGATGTGCTGCATTCATCTTTTGTGTCGTTCTCCTGCTCTTGTGATTTGAGCTCTCGTGCTGGAGGTCCTCCAAACCTGAGTACTATCTCACCACAACTGGATCTCTATGCAGCGGCACTTGAATACACAGGAAATACCAGCTGCTTCCAGTCTTTGAGAGAGCTGTCAAGAGAGATTAAATCAATATCACCCTTGAAGTGGCCTAATAAGCCGGCATTTGAGGAGAAAAATTACCGTTACTTCATTGTAGCGCAAAAATGACATCGCTGTCAGGTATTTTTAATGGAAGTAAAAACGTGAAAAAAAAAACTGTCTTCAACAAAATGCTGCGCTGAAAAGATTCCAGATGCGGAGGCATTTATCTTAGGTCGTACAAGTGGATTTGTCAGACTGCCTCGCAAAGAAGCCCCAGCGTTCTCAGGTGGTGTTTTACCGCGTCCGTGTTACTCGGTGAAAGTGGGACCGGGACCAGATTGTCTCCCCGACCGGGGGGGAGCGGTGCGACCGTGGCAGCGGTCCACATTTCTCTCCGTTTGACTAAACTGGGTTAAGCGCTCTGAAACAGATTAGGATACAGGTCAGCGCAGGTAGCATCCAACGGCTTCTCCTCCACATTCTCTTCTGTCCCACTTTCTCTCTGGTGACAGACTTTCCCTCACTTACATTCTCCTTAAATATGCATATGCATATGTGTGTGTCTGCACGTGGGGAGTCGTGAATTCACGCCGTGTGTGTGCATTCATGTTCCCTTGTCCGCGTGCGTGTAAGCGTGCACGCCGCTCCATTGTGATGAGGCCTGTACTCTCCCAAAGGGATACTACAATGGTCCAGATAAATCATCCTCAGCTGGGCAGCTTCGCCGCACATGAGGAAAAAAAAAAAGGGGGAAAGCACAAACACACACACACGCACGCAGACACACACAAAGAGGTAGAAACGTAGTGGAATAAATAAAAAAAATATATATATAAGATCAAAGTTAACGATAAAAATAGCATGGTGACAAAAGGAAAAGACGAAAGCGCTCCGTCCCGTTAATGGAGTCGCGGTGCGACGTGCGACCAGTACTTCCTTTGTGCTGTCGGACAGGAATTATCTGCAGTGGGAGGAGAGCCAGTGCCGAGGAAGGAAGAAGTGAGGAGATGGGCAGAGAGCTGCCAGCTGTATCTCTGCCTCCCCCCCCCGAGCAAAAGAAGACAGATCCCAGAACGCAACGTAATCAAGCCAACCGAAGCCATGCCTGACTCCTCCTCCGATTACTCTCTCCTTCTCCATCTCCAGCAGGGCGGGGCCGTGGCTGTGTTTGTAGATGGGCTACCTGCACTGCATGCAAGGAATAAGGAGCAGCATGTCCAGATGTTGGCTAAACCTTTAACACTGAACTCTTTATCCGCAGCCGAGTTGCTGATTAGAGTCCCGCTGATGCCTCCTGTCCTGATGGTATAATGCGCTGACCCCTCTGCCCGGTCGCTCCACTCTGGCCTGTTCTGAACCGGCGGCAGATGGCTGGGAAATGAAGTCGCGTGTTCCACATGGTATATTTATCGCAGTATCAGGCGGTCGTTTGATTGTCCAACAAAGTGTATAAAATGTGGCGATTCGCCCGGTCCAACCGAGCGGAGCCGAAGCTCGTAACGCGGTACGGGCGGAACTAAGCAGGTAGGTCCTTTTTTTTTTTTAAATATTGATTGCGAGGCTCACCGGACGGTCGATTGGTACACGAGGTCCTCGCGCCGGCGGTAGTCCTCCATGTGAGAGTAATTGGTATTAAACATGGCGTCGTAGGTGAAGATTTTCTGCTTGATGGTGCCTCCATCTGTGACCTGTGAAGCAAAAAGAGAGAGTATTAATGAGGACGATTGCTCTAATGATGGATGGGACGGGCTCTACCCTCTCTGCCCCCCACCCCCTCCGAGCTCCTCCTATGTCGTATGGCGGCCTGGGGTGTAGATAGCGCTCCTCCCTGCCATTACCCTCATTGATTCATTTGCAGCTGTGATAATCTCATCCTTTACACTGTGGAAAAGAAAAGGGATAGAAAACGTGCAGAGGTGATAAGATCCAGGAGACGTCTCTGAGGGAGCTGCCGGTGTGTATGTGTGTGTGTGTGTGTGTGTGTGTCCGTGCACGTGGTTAAGTCTTAATGAAGACTGACACAGTGTTGTGTACTGTGTGTGTGTGTCAAGCTTTCCGAGATAATGGTTTGTCGAGATACTGCAGACGTGGGGGGTCAACGGTGGGGGGGTTTTGTGATTTCCCCTTTCCTCAGAAGCCACACACACACACACACACACACAGACACACACACACACACACACAGACACACAGACACACACACACACAGACACCGCCATGAAGAAAAAAAGGGGGGTGACATGATTTTAATGGAGCCACTAATGCTGCTTTGAAGAATAATTTGTTTCTTGTTCTGTCTGCTGGCGCCGTCGTTCCAAATCCGATCCCCTCAGCGAAAACAGCGCTTCATGATTGGCCTGCGTAACGCACAACGTACGCGTCGCCTGGCGGGTAAGTCACCTTGTATTTCTGCGTGACCTTTTGGCCTCTGGAGGAAGCGCGCCGGCTCGGCACACGGACGATCCGCCAATGCAGGAGAGCACGAATCACCCGGAAACGACTTATTTCACAGATTTAGAATATCAAAAGGTCTGCGTGCCTGATCGCGAGACCTTTTGTATAGTTCATTGATCCCATCAGGCTCACCATTTTTACATCTTTGTGGAGAAATGTTTGACGCCCCCTGTGGACCTCCTTGGAGAGTCGTGGCCTTCTGTTCGTTTTCTTTTAACGCCAGTTTCACACAGTTTTCACGTCACTGCTCGGACGAAGACACCCGGAAAAAAAGACGCGGCGGCGTTTCTTTTGGAGCTGCGGAACGCGGAGAGATGACAGGGAAAAGGGTCGGCCTCTAAAAGCAAAGCCATGTTGGAATGTTTTGCTCTCCTTCCACCAGTAATGGACCTTTTTTAGAAACATCAGCAGGGAGTCGAGCCACATTTCGCTCTGACGCGACATCACCACACACAACGACGCGGCAGAGCTTAAAAGCAATACCGCCCGCAACTTCCCTGATGTACGACACCTATATGGAAAGCTGAGAGGCAGCAGGTTTGTTACTGGATTAATAATGAGATGCGAGTTATACACGATATATAGCAGCAGGGGGTATTTATAAAGAAGGCAGCAAAACCATTAATGGAATTAGATCGGCGCTTACCCGCTATAATAGTTGTTATCTTTCTCAATTTCACACAGAAAGTCAAATGTCAAAATCAAACGGATTTAATTAATTCTATTTGCGATCTTGAAAACGCATATCTGTGTGTATGAGTATGACGAGTCAAATCCTTTTATGGATGCTCATGATTTTTGTTATTTTCCCGTCAGCAGAACAGCCTCTTAAAGTCATCAAGAAGATGTAAGCAGCTCTTCAACGCGAGACGGGAACCACCACCAGCCAGGACGCACGCGGGAAAACCTGCAGCAAAACCATTGGCCAGCCGGCGCTTTGCATGTTGACCGCGCGCGTGTGTGTTGGCGCGCGCGTGTGTGTTGCTGCGTGTGCGTTGCTGCGTGCACACACGGCGTCCTGCAAACTAACCTTCCAGCTGACCTCAAACGGCCCTCGGGCCAAAGTTTCTGCGAAACCACTGACGCGCCTCATCGATTCAGCTTGTTAGCAGCTAACACCAATATGTCGTCTGCGCACCTTGTCAAGATGTCTCATGCCTGCTAACACGTGGAATTGCACAAGTAGATAATGCGTTTTATTCGAATAGTGCTTTTTGTAGTACTCACAAAAGCACTTTAAAATCATGAAATAGAAAAAAAGAAAGCTCTGCAAATGACTCTTCCTACAAACCCTCTTTTTGATTTCCTGCCAGATTTTATTTTCTAAGTGCCTCGTTACGTTTTGAGTCCTTTTTTTTTTTTGAAAAAATCAGAATCTCAGTCAGAAGTGCTGTGACTCGACTGAGAGAGAAAAACGGACGAAGCAGACTTATATAATAAAGCGTTATAAGATATAAGCAATAAGGACTCCTTAAATAAAAGAAAAGCACCGAGCTACAACGGGATCATGGTATTTTTTGTGTTTATGTACAACCGATATTCGCTATTTAACCGACAAAGCCTAATTTAAGCTAATGCTAGCGTTTGGTTTTTTTGTTGTTGAGTGCATTATTAAATTACATTACACTACATGTCATTTAGCTGACGCTTTTATCCAAAGCGACTTACAATAAGTGCATTTCAACCATAGGGATACAAATTCAGAAGAACAAGAAAGTGCAATTTCCTCAAATAAGCCGATTTACAATCTGCTATAGATGAGCGGCGTCACAAGTACAATTTAAGTGCTACAATTTGTTAGTCTTTTAGTGGAGGTGGAGTCTGAAGATGTGGAGGCTCTCTCCTTCAGAGAGCTCGTTCCACCACCAAGAGTCGTGATCCGGTCGAGTGTTTTGCTCTCAGTGAGGGAGGGACGAGCATGATCGATGCTCACATCGATATTTAAATGGAATCTGATGAATGTTGGGAGCTCGTTTGGGTCTTTCTGTTGCAGAGCTCTTACGGCGATCTCTGGAGAAGCTGTGACAGCAGCGGAAAGAGAAATCCCATTCATATTATCGGCGTGTGGGGGGGGGGGCAGTAAACATGGCCGAGTGGTTATTTTCACCAAAGAGCAAATCTAAAAACGTTAAAGGACCTGGTGGCCGACGCGAGCGTTAGATTTCTGGTTGTCGGGAAGCCACGCGGACCTGCGAGGATATTTTCTGCCACAGACGGGACATCTCTGTGGACCCCCCCCCCCCCCTTTATCAATCCCTCCTGAATGATGTCACTTCTTAATTAAGACTGACCCGTAAACCCCGGTGTGATCTGCACACCCGCGGGTGTCTCCCTGTTTGGCTAAAAAGGGCCGACATCGGAAGGAATGGCAACGGGAGCGAGTGAGACGGGAGCGAGTGAGACGAGAGCGAGTGAGACGGGAGCGAGTGAGACGGGAGCGAGTGAGACGGGAAGCGGCGGGACCAGAGGGACATGAATGCGCTTTGATTGTGGAAAAGCACCGTCAGGGAGGCAAAGCTTTGCTGCAACTGCTGCGCTGAATCCAGGCCACGCGGCACAAAGAACGGGCCGACACCGCCGCCCGCCATCTGGGGGTGTAAAAAGACGGGAAGGGAGGAGGTGTGGGAGGACGGGGGGGGGACGAAAGTGAGGCTCCCCCCTCGTTGGCATTGTGGCTGATACCTGGACAGGTAGCTGCATGGAGTGACGTCTCCAGACGTCCAGCCAGTGGACCGGACTCTGTGATGGTGCTTGCCTGTTACCGGGGGGGGGGGGGCATTAGGAGTCGGAGGGGTTAACCGATGCCCTCCTCCCTCCGCCTGTCTGGGGTGGGACCTATTTATAGGCTGCAGCTGCGTCAGCAGCCAGTGGAGGACATTCAGCAAAACACACCGCAGGCCGACTGAGAGGGATTCACCCTGAATCCTGCTTCAGCGTTTCAAGAATGACCACGGCCCAAGTCTTCAGGCTTAGTTGAGGAGAGATGACACATGGGGGGGGGGGGGTGAATCGTTTAAAGACGTCTAATCTCCATGTTCAAAGATACGAGGGACCGCGTGGAGTTAACGTTATTCTAAGATAAGGTTGAGCAATAACAATATGCTCCCAACGTGGCGACTCATGATAATGAGTTTCAAAGAAGTGCTCAATCATATTGTACTGGCGTGTGATCCGAATCTAAAAGTCTAATACTCCCATGAAGTGAACGGCAGAGCGACTCATAATATCCTAATGAGATTTATACCCATTCGGTCGCTCATTTAAAGACTTAGACGAGCAGCAACAAAAGAGATGATCAGAGCATTGTCGTGAGCCGGCTTGGCACTTCCTTTCATATCCGTGCTAATTTGCCTAATATCATTATCTCACAAAATGTCTTTTGAAACAGGACAGAACAATCGGGGAAGCATTGTCTTACTTGTGAAATTGCTATAATTGCTGTGTGAATGAGCAAAATATTACAAAATCCAGATGTCACTTCTCGGGGTACGATGGAGCGCGCGGGGACCTTTTTTGTTAACGCACAAGCGAACAAATCAAGTTGCTGTGAATTTATTTTTGCACTCGCGAAGACGTTCAGCGACGCAATGAGTACGGATTTAGTAGTCCTTTATTTTCCCTGTCGTTTGCTTTTCTTTAAATAAGCTGAAAACTCAAACGTCTCCATAAACGTGCACTTTATACAGTGGAACAAAATCACAGCGAATGCAGAATCCGATGCCGGTAAAGAAGAAGACCTTTCCTTTCCATCGAATCCAGAGGATCAAGCAGTTTTTCTTTGAGGCTTTGAGTAACAACCGGGCAGAGAGCAGCGCTGCATTCTGGGAGATACGCAGGGGGGAGTGCTGGTGTACAACAATAACGCAACAGGCCTCAATGAGGTGAGAGATGAAATTTGCTGTCGTTGGCTTTTTATGGAGCGCCAAGCATTAAACACCGGGAAGAATACAGAATCAAGTGCTGTGCCAACCAAAAAAAATAAACCACACAAAATACGATGCAGCTGGATAAAAGGGCATTGTGCGTTAACCTTATTAGTCGGCAGCACTCTGAGCTGGGGGGGGGGCTGAGGTGTTTATACGGCCTGCTGACCGAGGAAGCGCCGGCTGTGTCTGAGGAGGATGTGCTGCGTAATGCTGATCGGTGCCCCCCCTCCACACCTGTGTGCTCCTAGCTCGTGCATGCACCCCCACCTCCGACCCCCCCCCACGACCCCTTCAGGCTGCTGAGTGAC